TGGACGCATGACGCGGCTTGCTTTTAACCTCACCGCTCTCTTGACTTTGGTTACATTGTGACGTACGCACTGACAAATTCATTTATTCTCCATCATATTGACTCACCCGTACGACACTTGGGATGCATTTTGTGCATCAGATGACATTAAGTCAATACATAAGAGCTGCGTGGTACTAAGAGGTACTCCTGAGTAGAAGGAAATATTAGAAACAGCTCTCAGCATTACCCAATGCAAGTTTACGCTGCAAAATACGACAACATATTGTTATAAATGACTACAATTATGTCACTGATGTATGATGTGGTGCACGGGTGTCAAAGTGAAGTCCAGGAGACTAACTGAATTTATTGTGTCTCGCAGAAGCAAATATTGTGTCAATGTTCATGATTCTGGCTAAAATCTCGATAACCTTTCTAAATGTCATGTGTAATGGATCCCGCAGCAAAAAAAAAGTTTGACATCTCTGATGTGTTGTCTTTTTAGTTGTAATGTAGCAAGAGAGGAGAAACTGCACAGAGCAAACAAAAGGACTGCGGAAAACGTTACTTTTTGTTGTTCGGATTTGTTTGGGGAATGAGTCACCAAGCTTTCTTAAATTGAGACCTACTTCTTGTGTCGTGATTAATATGAAGGCATACCAGTTTGATCCACACTTCTGAAATAACTTATTTGCCCAAATTAGATTAGATTAGATTAGATTAGATATCCTTTATTTGTCCCACACTGGGGAAATTTACAGCCTTCAGCAGCAAGATTGTGGGTAGAAAGAAGAGAAAAGAAAACACAGTTCAATTACTTTCTACAATACTGTTCGGAACTCACAATGTCCCATTACGAGCAAGCTATTTTTAGAACAGGCCTGGGAGCTACTCATGTAGTCCTAGGGGGGACTACCTGGGCCCTACAGGGACTAGGTTGGTGATGCCTGGCCGAATGATTAGTGAGTATATCTCACAATAGCGGTTTGAACCTTGGCTCATGCTTTCCTTTTTCACCTTCGCCCCATACTTGCTTGGGTTTTGTCCAGAAATGCCAGCTTCACTGTGGGTTCCAAAAACATCCATGTTCGGCTGATTACGGACTCAGAATTGACCTAAAGTATGAATGGCCATTTGTCTCTGAATGCCCCGTGATTGACTGGCGACCAGTTTTTGATTCGAAAGCCCACAATCTTAATTTGACAGCTTTTTAGATAAAAATTACGTCGTGATCCCTTTAAACTGCCCGTGTCAATTACAGTACTGTACTCAAATCAAACAACAAATAGCCAACTGCCTGCAAGTGTGGCTAGATTTTTGGGCAAGGTAAATGGCGACCCCTTCTGGAACTGACTAGTGAACGCCAGAACATTTTCAGTACAGAGTCGTCTTCAAACGCTGACATCCCCAAATAGTAGATGCTGGTAAAAATGTACATCCAGACATCATTCGAGGCTTCAGCCTTGTTAGCTACATCGACATGGTTTTATTGGCATTCGCATAATCAGTCAAGCTAAAGCTAATATTAGCTGCGGCCATATTATGAATTCACTTGTTATCACTATTACAACGCTATCTTTTGACAAGCAGTTGGTACGGACTATTCGCAAATATTATTTTACGTCAGCGAAGCTCTGTTAAGAGAAACATCGAAGGTGGAGAGGCTGATCGAACAACTCAGTCTTGATGCAACTTCTTTTATGTCGATGGGTGCCCTACAATTGGCTCTCAAACAGTTCAGGGTGTACCCCGCTAGATGAGAACAAAAGCAGTCAAAAGTCACCAGCATTGTATGAGATGACTGTACACGAATCAGCAATACGAAATATATAAAGTCAATTACATGCAAGTGTCATAAATAAAATTATGCTGCAAATAGCTAATTTGCAGATAGGACCCAAACTATTTAAAATTCCAACCTTTGCCACTAGATGGCAGTGATGTCTTCCACTACATTCACCCAAATATGTTTGGCCTATCAACCAGAGAACTCCCTGCCTGCCCAGTCAGTCAAACCTTCAATATGTGTCCAGTTCACCCAGTGCAGCATGCCAATGTTCACTTTCACTCCGTCAGATGGAGCCACGCCACATGAAAGGGGCCCCCGATACGTGCGAGAGATCATACATTTGAGGGCGCTCCCCGTTCCCCAACATGCTGTATTCATTTGTATGGCTCGGCGGCTGTGATGCAAACCATATGAGTGAACGGGCAGACACCCAGCCAAAGAAGCAGCCCACCCACGGCTCGTAGGCTCGCTTTTTGTCTTTCCTTCCCCTCCCAGGTCAGGCGGCATTCCTTCTTGAGCCCTGGGGATCTCGACTAATGAAGGCAACCAACATCCTTCACGAGGACTGGGATATTACAACATGTGCTACTTTAAAAGACAAAACAAAGGAAGAAAACGATCAAAAGAGAGCATAAAATATGGTGTCAGACAAATTTGCTAGCTTCTAACAACAAGGCGTGTGTAGGAATGGTTGTTAGGATTGTATTATTGTCTGCTGTTGTATTATTATTTTGTGTTCAATGTTCTGGAAAGCGCTTTGTTACAGCTGCCGTTGTGAAAGGGCTACATAAATAATGATGTATTGTATTGTAAGGAGGCGAACGAGCGCGCAGGGAGATGTTTGGAGGCGACTCCTCTTTGGTCACAAAAAAAATTGAAGTCCTAATTCCTTACTTTCTTGTCATGTCCTTGAAAAAAAATATGCAATTGAAATAATGCGTGAAAATATTGTATGTGTGCTAACGTGTAACGTCGACCGTACAAATGTGGGTCTAAAAAAAAAAAAAGTCGACTACTGGCCTGCGAAGGGAAAATCCCTCTCATTAAAAAAAAAAGAAAAGGAATCAAATGATTTTGTGGATGCCAAACCGCAAGTACGCATGTATTATTATGATTATTAATTTATTATCATTTAGTATTGAACAACAGAATACCATCACGCCTTCTCTGACTCTGTCCTTCTTTCCCATGCTTTGATTTACCACAAAAGTTGGGGAAATCATTGCAACCGCAGCAGTTGGATCAGATAACAACAGACTGTCAATCAACTGCGGCGACACTGGAATGGTATGATCATTGGAGGCACTTGATTTTAATAAGATTTGTCACATGCTGGTTAGAAGAAGTCCCCCGGTTATAGGGGTGAGATCACAGCCTCTGCTTTCTATCACAGAAACCACATGAAGAAGGCTGGGGCATTCAGGTCCATAAGTATTTGGGCAATAATATTGCGTTGCTGTGACAGACCACCGCTGTACGCAGAGTTCATGAAAAAGAATTCGGATCAGGTGATGTCATTTGTAGGGCGGCATGGTGGTTGACTGGTTAGCACATCGGCCTCACACTGCAGAGGTGCGGGCTTTGAGTCTGGCTCCGGCCTTCCTGTGTGGAGTTTGCAAGTTCTCTTGGCTTTTCGCAAAGTGGATGATGACAGAATTCTTTTCCATCACAACATCGACAGAAGTCCGTAATATTATGGGCTGGCGTATCGTTGTCAAAATTTACAGCCCAGAGATTTCCTTCATGATTGTATACAGAGAGGGTTCACAACAAGTTGCAAACCACTTGTGACGTTCAAGAACAGGAAGGCCTGATCAGACTTCAACTGATGAATGGATCCGAACATCAGCTCCCGTGTTTTGCAAATGAATCCTCATGTATCAGAATGACAGAGATAAAAAGGAATAGCTCAACCAGAGGAAGAGTTATGCCACGCAAATGGAATGGGCTCACAGGTGGAAAGGAATTGTGTGGTTAATTCCTCTGCGGATGATGACACATTGTAAAAAAAAAAAAAAAGACACACCGGGAAATAGAGAGTTCAAGTCAACAGTGAGTGATTAAGATCTTGGGAACTTATAGGGCCTAAAAAAACACTCACGGGGAGTATGTGAACCGCAATGACAATGACGCTCCATCTTCCCCACCCATGATTTTATTTTTAATGGATTGTTTGGTGTTGTCTGCTGTCAGAGTCTTTTGCCAGCCTAAAAACCACAAACGTCAGGCATTGAAAATGTGTCTTTGAAATGTTTTTTTTTTAGATAGGTATGGGGTATTTTTTTTTTAGTACTTATTTGTGATTATCCATCCATCCATTTTCCGATCCGCTTATTCTCACGAAGGGTTGCGGGAGGTGCTGGAGCCCATCCCAGCTGTCTTCGGGTGTTGGCGGGGGACACCCTGAACCGGTTGCCAGCCACTCGCAGGGCACACACAGACGAACAACCATCCGTGCTCACACTCACACCTTGTGACAATTTGGAGTGTTCAATCAACCTGCCACACATGTTTTTGGAATGTGGGAGGAAACCGGAGTACCCGGAGAAAACCCACGCAGGCACAGGGAGAACATGCAAACTCCACACAGGAAGGCCGGACCTGGAATCGAACCTTGCACCTTTGCAATAAAGATGATTCTGATTCTGGTTCTGTGAGGCCGACACGCTACCCAGTCGCCCACCGTGACGCTGCATGCGATTCCCATTTGATAATTGCATCTTCTTTCCTCTAAATCCTTTGTGGTGTTGTATCAAGGAAATAGTCACTGTTCAAATCACTCAGGAAACAACTGTACATGACTGAAGGATACGGAGTGGGAAAAAAAATAAATCCGCTGTAATGACAGCAGGCTGCATCCACTTACGAATCACCACATTTACTGATTATTAAGCAATATCAAGTGTTTCCCCAAACACTTCAAGTAGTCAGAACAATGCTGCCGTCAATGACAAAAATCCAGGCTGTTGCGGGGTACTTAATGAGTGTGTAATTAGTCTTTTATGAAGCTTATGAGGTCATAGACGTGGCTAGCGTCTGGCGCACGGAGGGATCATTTCCCGACTCTGGAAATTGAGTCAGCGTCAAAGTGTCGTGCCTGCCCCTTCTTATTACTGGCTGAGAGCAGCGCCCATCCCAGCAGCATAATTCCATCTGGGCTAAATATTTATACAGAGGAGGAGGGTAGAGGTGTGAGGGGGGGTGGTGGGGGGCGGATTCTACATCACTTTAGCCACAACACATTCATTCACATAAGGAGAAAGAGGCTTCAACACTAAGTTAGTGTGAGAAGGTTCGTGCCGGAGGAACAACAATTTCTATCCCTTTTTTGGTGAATTTTATTTTTTGGGGGGGGAAAGTACAGCACAGGATGAAGAGCTTTGTGATGTTCGCTGTTACTCTCACTTTGTGTCAGATTGGGAGGAACCCTGCCAGTGGTACGTAGATTTTGGATTAGTAATTGCATGAATTGGTGCATTTAGTCCCCTTATTGTGCAAAAAGAGCTTCCAAAGGTATGTGGAAAAATAGCATCACGTATTTAAAGAACAAAACTGATGGAAGAAGCTAGTTGAAATGCATTTACTTTTATGAGCTGAGTTTCCCAAACTTAGGCTTGAGGACCCACCGGTGAATTTTTTTTCAATTTAAATTTTTGCAGGTCTATCATGCGCATAATTTAATGGAAGATGTATTTCATTCAAGCTTGTTTTAATGAATGAATCTGTGTTTTGGTGGTTATATTTAGCTCGCAAAGTGCGGGTAGGTCAATGCATTCGCATTTTCAGTACAAGATCAATTTTCATACGTTTGGCTCGAGGAAAAATGAAAATCGAAAATATCTGGAAACTTGGATCCAAGGCAATTAGTTGACCATTTTATGATCACTTGTCCAGTGACTTCTCCTTGGAATCTATTTACCTACCTAACTTACCTCTCTACTTACCTAAACTAGTTACCAAATCTATGTACCGCCCGGTCGGCTCCCTATCTGTGTAATCAGCCTACCTAATTGATTTTGACTGTTAACATTCCAACTACCTACCTACCGTACCAACTTAATACCTACATACTAGGCGATTTCACTACCTTCCTACTTGCGTACCTTACATACAGGAGAATATATATCTTCGCACTGATGATTCTACCTACGAACCAAAATTTTCTCTGAACCCACCTAATCCGTCTACCTGTCTCTGCCTCCTTAGAATTGTTACATTTCTTTTTATCTACCCACCTACCTACCTACTATACTGTCCATTGCTCTGCATACCTACTACTACGAGATATACAAACTACCTAATCTCTCCACGGATACTCGACCCATCAACCCGCCTTATCTCTGTGCCTGCCTACCTATCGGGTCTATCCGTCCCACTCATCATTTGTGATTTTTGCAGCGGGGATGTGTTGGCTTCAGCAGAGCCACCGGTGTGACATGGTGCTGATGAGAGGGGTCACCAAAGAGGAGTGCTGCGGGGGTGGCCGGCTGGACACGGCGTGGTCCAACACCAGCCTGCCCATGAACGAGGTCAGCCTGTTGGGCTTCCTGGGCATCGTCTCCTGTAAACCCTGCAAAGGTAAATGGAGGAAAGAAAGCAACTTGTGTCACTTTTTCGGGTTTCACTTTTTTTTACTGAAAGAGCATTGAATTGCATCGCATATGAATGAGTGATGTCTCCAAGGAACCATCTATCCGTTTTCGATTGTGCTCATCCTTATTAGGGTCAGATATAAAAATGGAGCCTATCCCAGTGGGGTGCACCGGGCGTGTTCGCCGGCCACTCACAGGCCAGGAAACATCAACACGCTTTGCCCTGCTTTATGATTAAGGATATTTAGAGGAAAACACATGCAAATTTTCCCCAACACAAGGTACACCTGCACAGTCTAATGCTATCCAAAAGAAAAATTCACATTATTTACGAGTTTACAAGTTCATTGCTATAGTTGTAGTTGTATAAAACCACACTATAGCACACAGGTTTTTTTTTTGTTTGTAGCAAAACTGAGCTCCTTTGGTTATCTTCAGATAGTACCACTAGATGGCCAATATTGTATAAACATAAAAATACAGTAAATGTGTTGTACACATCAAAATGTACCCTTAATAAACAATCAGATACTGTCCAATAAAATGTTAAATGTAATCTCTGAATACATGCAGCTCAATAGAAAAATTAAGACCAGTTTCTCAAATGTTGCTATTTCTAGGTATATGTTTGAGTGAAATGAACATTTTTGTTTGATACTCCCCACAGAGCTGCCTATTAAATGAAAACAAAGCCAAACAAATTGACCCAAATACTGGAAGACAGAAACACAGTGAGTGCTGCATAAAATTCTAGAGTGCACCTTACAAAACAAATTGTGCAGGTGTACCTAATCTAGCCTAGTTCTTCCTTGTGAAATGAGTTTTGTTCAGGTTGTGCATTTTGTAGCTATTTAACACGATCAAGTTTGTGATGTGGCTGGCGAACAAAATGCAGATGAGAGAAAGACACACACACACACACACACACACATACACGAACATACGCAGTGTGGGGAGCTCCACATAACTCCACTCAGCTGTCCCATGCGAGAATCTCCGCAAGGTTCATCCAGGTTCACTTGAACAGTTGAGTAATGTGGTTATGCAGTTCATCTGGACTTGACACCAAATTTAAGGAAAGAGATGTGTGTGTGTGTGTGTGGGGGGGGTGGGGGGGGTGCATTGTGGGATACCACAAAGTACTGATAAAAGGGCACCTCCCACGAGTGTTTCCAGGGCATAACATGTCTGATTTAAGGTCTTTCACATTGGAAAGGGAGTGAGAGCACTCCTGGACGACAACCCTGAATGAACATCACCTTCGAGTTTTGTGGCAAGGCAATATCTGGAATGTTCAAAGTGTAACGTTTTGTGTATGAACAGTATCTTGGTGGAAATGAAGTTTATATGCTGTATTTTTGGGGTCTCAGTCTGGTTGGTTACTTCCAGTACCTGGCTTGGTCATCGGTGAATCTCAGGGGGCTTATAGACAAACAAAAATTCCCATTCACATCTGTGGGCAATTTAGAGTCTTCAATGAACCCAAAATACATGTTTTTGAAATGTGGGACCCAGAGGATAAAACAGGCAAGCATAGGGTAAAAAAATACAAATTCCACACAAAAAGGGCGAATATTTAAACCCAAACCTCAGAACTGCGAGGCAGATGTGCTAACCGTGATTTCACCGTGCTGGCCTTGGTTTCTCCCATTGACACGTCCATGTTGGAGAACCAACATTTCATGTTGCGATGTGAAATATGCTTTGGCAGAAACGGAAATACAACATTTGTAATTTATATGTTGACAGCCAAACCCGCCCCCCGCCCCCCCCCAAAAAAAACCAAGAGGACCTTTGTGAGGACTCTCGTAAAACTTTAAACTGAATATAATAAAATAAAATCCATGAATAAGATACGATATAATAAATACAATAGTTGTAGCGTGGCATTATATTTTTCATAATTTTAGTATTGCCTTTGGTGGACTAAAACCTGAAATGGTCCCTCAAAGGAAGTTTTCTCCTTCAAGGTCATGGGAGCAAATAGGCATGTATTTTTATTTTTATTATTTTTTTTTTTGCTATGGACTCTGCTCCGCCTCAAATTACACTTCCAAGCAAAACGCTGGCAATGTAGCTCATCTTCTTTATCTCTCAGGATGTAAAACTTTCCACAAAAGTCATTTGAACTCCTCCGACCGCCGTTCCACCCTCACCCTCCCGCCTCTGCGGGAGCTTAGGCCGCGTCATTGGACGTGTTATGAAAACACGCCAGGCCTGCATTCCATCCGGCGCAAACGCCCCGCTGCGTACCACTCACCAAAAGCGATGTGCTTATTGTAAATATCAGGCAAGGTTAAAACTTGTCATGTAGTCCGCTTTATGAAGAAGAGTCACCTGCAGGCTCATAAAGTTAATGAGGCCCAAACGTTCAGTAAAGTACGGACCTGAAAAGTTTTTCTAACAGAGATCGGGAAGCTAACTGATGGAGGGGGCAACAATTTTTCATCAGGAGGCCGCAAAGGACCACACGTGCCCTAACCAATGACAAAAACATTGTACTCCTAATAATGTAGAAGGTATTTCATTTTTCATCCATTTCTCAATGCGTGTATGAAAGCCACTATTCAACAGCAACAGGTTTGAAGTCAACAACGCAGTCTCCACATTCTGTATTTTTTTTTCCAGAGCAAATGGATCTTTTTTTTTTTTTGGTTAACCCAAATTATTCTACAAAAAATTCTGATACACCTCCAATATACATTTTCCTCAAAAAACAGGGATTTGCTCCCCACCAAAAACAAACAAAAAAAAAAAACAACAGAAATTTTTATTGAAAAAAAAAAAATAAGTGAATGGCGCTGAGCCGCAAGTATTCGGACATCTACTGTAGTAGAGGAAACATGTTTATAAACGCCCCCCCCCCGGAAAAAAATCAGGGGGGCGGGGGGGGCTTTCAAGCCGGTTACTACAGTGGACAGCTTATCATGTCATCAGGTTACAGGGTGCATGAAAGAGTTAATCAAGGGTCCACTCAGAGCCTGCTCGTTGGCAACATGCCGCCAATTGTCCATTCCTGCGCCAGTAAAAATATTGAAATATTTCACGACTACTTATTTTACTTTGTTACATCCCCCCCTAAAAATGTTTGAAAACTCCATCTTCTTTTGCAGAGACGTGCGAGGGTGTAAAGTGCGGCATCGGGAAAGTGTGCAAGATGAAGATGGGAAGGCCGCAGTGTGTGTGCGCTCCAGACTGCTCCCACATCGGACGCCGGCATGCCGTGTGCGGCAGCGATGGAAGGTCATACAAGGACGAGTGCATCCTACTCTTGGCCCGCTGCATGGGACACCCCGACCTGGAGGTCATGTACCAGGGCGAGTGCAAAAGTAAGCGTTTGACCCTCGGACCTGAAGGAAGGATTTTAGTCAATAATAAAAAGCCCAAAAATGTAACGGGGGAGATTCATGTTGGGATTCGGATAATAAGTATTTTACCATTTGAATATGGTACTGGAAATTCTATCGAATGATCATGTATTTGAACAAACTATTTTTTTTTTGCTCTATTAAGGATCTATTTTAAAGACAAAATAGTAAATAAGAAATTTCATGAACACTAATAACAAAGAACGACTGGCAGAGCTGCCAACCAATAGAAACTAACTACCAGAACAATTTGTCTCAATTTTCATCATTTTAAAATTACTGTGTATGTACTATATGTATGTATGTAAAAAAAAAAAATAATAATATTACGGCAGAACACTTATTATGCAATCAAACAAAAGTGACATGACCGCCGTGTTTCATCACCAAGATGTCAGAATAAAAGCAATCGAAACCGTGTCGGGAGAAACGCTCAACTTGCTACATTTTCATTTTTACTCTCCTCATATTTAGTTTTGACTCGCAAATTGCAATGCGAACCGTCTTATTTCGAACCGTGGTTACTGTTTTAATCTGACTTGTGATTTATTGACTCACAATAATGCTTGTTGGAGAGAATTTTCTGAAGTTGTCATCGTGAACGCTTAAAAAAACTGGAAGACAAAGATAATTGAAGTAGACAACTATACTTTCTTTCACATTTATTCATGGTTCTTTTGCGTTTCTTTTTTAAACCTAATTTATAAAACCAAAACATTTACGCAGGATAAATCTGACACTGTTTAGTGTAATACAGATTAATTACAGTGTAATTAACGTGTGAACAAGAATCTCTTATTAAATCCCAATCGCAATAATGAGCAAAAAAATTACAATCCATTATTTTTCAAAATTGTTCACCCTTAGTCGTAGCTATATCAAAATCATGGAATTGAAATGTGTTTGTCGCGTTTTGGCAGAGTCCTGCTCCAACGTAGTGTGTCCGGGAACGCACACCTGCGTGACGGACCAGACCAACAGCGCCCATTGCGTCATGTGCCGATCCACACCCTGCCCTAAACCGCTGCCCTCCGAGCAGCCCATTTGCGGTAACGACAACATCACGTACCCCAGCGCCTGCCACCTGCGTCGCGCCACCTGCTTCCTGGGCCGATCCATAGGAGTCCGCCACTACGGACACTGCAACAGTACAGACACCTCAAAGTACATCCGCTTCTAAAATTACTTCCTAATCTCACCATCACTCTTCCTGTTGCCCGTACCTTGCAGGTGCTCCAAGGAAAGCGCGCGTGTTTGACGGCAGCGAAGAAAACGCCGTCTAAAAAAAATCGACAAACGCACCACAAGCTGACCTCTGTTGTGTTTGTGACAATCATCCCTCTATATTGTACACGATTTATTTGATATGGAAGCAGTGGCATGGCGTAGCGGAGGTGCTAGGGGAGCAGTCGTCCCATGGTGAAAAGTTTCGGGGGGGGTGCAAAATTTCTAAAATGTTTTGTAGTAATGGTGACCATTTAGTCTATTGTTTAGGAGGCCCTGTTCATTTTTGTTTTTTGTTTTTTTTTTGTTGTAAAATATGTTTATGTAAAATGATGAGAGCAATGCACGGTGCCACAGACAAACACATTTTTGCAACTTGTTTGCCTCACTTTCGCACATCTCCATTGTCCAACATGATCAAAAATGACAGAACGGAAACTTTGCTGTAGTGTGGGGTAGTCGACACAGGCGCAATTTTATGCAAAAATGCATTTTAAAGCCATGTCGGAATAGCAGTTATAGCATAGTGAGCGAGAAGTATGCTACGCCAGCAAGTACTGGATTTTTGGGGGACTGCAAGTTGCTTGGCTACTCCTATTTCTTCTATTTTCTTTTGGTGGTTGGCACACACTTTTGGAGCATTACCACTTTGTTTTTACCATGCTCAAGAATGTTTTTTCTTCTCCTTTCTTCTTCTTCTTCATCATCATCCTGGCGGTTGGCAAATACTTTGAAAGGCCGGTGATCCTAAGGTGGTGGTGATGCACTAAGAATATTTGCCAACCACCAAAAGAAAGTCAACATGATTAGCGAGCAGGGATTTGGGGTGACAAGGCTCGAATTTTCATTCTACAAGTCGCTCTTGTGTATAAGTCAAATTGTGGAGGAAAAAAAGTGCAATTTATGGTCTGGAAAAACAAAATTAGGGCTCAACCAATTAATCAGTCAATAAAATAAAATGAAGAGATTTTTCTCTCGATCACAAACAAATGCTCTGCCGATAATTCATATCTTCATAGTTGTAAGGGCAAGGGACCAAAAAGAACTAATTTAATTTCTTCTATTTTTCTTTATTATTAATTGACTCTTCTATTCTGGCTCCGGCTTTCCTGTGTGGAGTTTAAATGTGCTCCTAGTACCTCCGTGGGTTTTCTCCGGGTACTCCGAGTTCCTCCCACATGCCAAAAACATGCATGGCAGGTTAATGAAAGACTTTAAATTGTCCCTTAGTGTGATTGTGAACATGAATGGTTGTTTGTCTCTGTGTGCCCTGCGATTGGCTGGCAACCAGTTCAGGGTGTACCCCGCCAACTGCCCGAAGACGGCTGGGATAGGCTCCAGCACCCCCCGCGACCCTTGTGAGGATAAAATGATCAGAAAATGGATGGATGGATGGATTAATTGGCTCATTATTGGAATTTTATTTCGCCAAATATCGGAATCTGCATCAGCCTAAATTTTTTTTTTTTAATCTATCGCTTGGGCCTTAATCAAAATGAGCAAGTATACTATTGAAGCAGTGGCATAGCGTGGAGTTGGCAGAAGGAGAGTGTTTGGAGTGTGCACAAAACATCAGAGACCTATCTTTTTTTTTTTTTTTTAATGTGGCAGTCGTAGGTGTCATATCAAAATAAGTGGGAAGCAAAGTATAGAAACGATGGCATAGCATGAGGGAGGAGAGGAGACACAAAGAAGTTAGTCTGGGGTTCAAAATTTTGGCGGTGTGCATAATCTGAAGAAACCTCCGTAAAATTCGGGTTGCTCGTAACAGTAGTATTCGTACTCGTTAATCAGTCAAAATTAGTGGGTATTATGGGATGGAAGCAGTGGTCAAGTGTGGGTGAGGTGCCAGGGTGGATAACTGTCCTGGGGTCAAATTGTGTGGGTGCGCAAAATTGTAAAAAAACAAAAATAAATGTCATAGTTGTGGTCATTATTTTTACCCCCCCCCCCAAAAAAAACATTCAGAATCACAAATTGACTTCACTTTGCCCTGAGCTACATTGGCACAAAAAGGTGCAAACGGCTAAAAACGTACCTAGTTCACCCAGCGATCACTCCAGGTCGAAACGTAACCCACACTATACCACCGTGTGTTGAAGACCTCTGTTGAAAAATACATGCGACATAATTTTGGGCAGATGAACACATCAAGAGAGACAGAACACCACGGGAGACGTGTTCATTATTTATTGGAGAAGGTATCAATCACTATTTATGATTTTATCCTAGTAACAGAGGCCATGTATCCTTGGGAACGCTGAAGCAAAAAGTATATTTATTGTGCTTTGTTTTTAATCCTTTGCCACTTGCTACCGCATTTTTACGGCCTGGTTTTATGACAAACGCAGTCTTTTCCTCATTAAGTCGATGAGATAAAATCTGGGCCGGCGGGCGGAAAGTTTATAGCTGTGGCAATTTCAAATCTGCACCGTGAGGGATAAAGTTGTGTGTGTTTCTTTCAGTCAGCAAAGTGTGTACCTAGGAAACATTTCATGTTTACACTACGGAAAAATATGACAAATCGTTTTGAGCGTGTATTCGATATCAGTGAGATCCATCTTGAGGTCATTGCGCGTTGTTTTCACTAGTATGACAATTCTGCATTCTACGCATTGTACTAGCGTGCTGAATTCTACTTGCTAATCTTACTAGCAAGGACCATGAGCGTACAAGGACCCTAAGATGGATATCAAGGGTGTCCAATAAATTCTCCAATGGCTTTTCATAAACAAGCCCCTTCCAAACATTCCTAACATTGAACTGTTTCTGTTTTGGTTTTGCTTTTCCAACAATACCTCCTCTGTGGAACGCTCGCCTTTGTTTTTCTTTTATTTTGTAAATACAACTAAGCTTTTGTAGGATGTGCTCTGCTCTTGTTTTTTTTTTTTTGGGTTGCATCAATTTGATCAGAATTCCCCAAAAGAATGTAGCGGAGAAGATCAAATTAGTCTCGGAATGGACCGCAGTAACCAACACTTGATGTCGCGCCGTCAGGGTGGTGTGTCGTGGTGACGGCCTCGGTGAACTCCCCCTCGTCCGCGGTGAAAATTTGAACTGAGCACGCGGACTTCTCGTGTCTGTGTGTGCGTGTGTGTGCGTGTAATCTACTGTGAAAAACTGAGTAATAAATGCATCCTATTTTTGTACTGCCGTTTTCACATCATAAAGTTATTACTCCGAGACTTGCTGCGCCTTCTTTCTCTTTTGTTCAAGTGGAGTTGATCTCGTTTGCTGCCAGAAGTGGTCAAAGTATACACACTACAAAGAAATGCAGATGCAGTCAAACCTCAGTTTTCGTCGATAATCCTTTCCAGAAGGCTGTTTGAAAACCGAAATTGTTCGAAAACCGAAACCACGCTATTTTTAAAATAAAAATGTTTACTGAACACGTCTGCTCACAATGGAAAGCAACACGAGGAAGCATCACTTCCTCATCTACCGAGGAAGCGTCACTTCCTCGTGTAAGGAAGGCGTGAGGAGTCAAATGGTGCATTCAAGTGCGCTCAGTTCGTTCGAGAACCGAAATTTGTTCGTCATCCGAGGCATAAAAAACTCAATTTTTGGTCGAAAACCAAATGGTCGAGAACCGAGACGTTTGCAAACCGAGGTTTGACTGTACTTGTAAAACATGCATGCATATCAGAATCCCTGAAGAATCAGAATACTTCATCCCAACGTAGCCCAAGTACTCCAAACCTTAAAAGACAAATGTCCAACTGGCAATGAAGAGGCTCATTAGCTTAATTCACAAACGAGAAGGACCAAGTACAAAGGAAAAAAAAAAATCCATCGATTTTTTTATCTGACATTAGGCCACAAGGGCAGCAGCTTACGTAAGGAAATCAAGACTTTCCTCTCCCCAGCCACTTCATTCATCTCTTCCAGGGAAAGGTATTCTCAGCCTAGCCAGCAGATATGCCTTAGGCTGTCCAGCGTGTCCTGCGCCATCCCCCTGATCCTCCTCCTGTTGGGACATGCCCAGACCACCTCACCAGTGAGCCATACCAGTAGACATCCCAACTCGGTGCCTGAGCCACCTCATCTCCTCTTAATTCATTGGGGGAGCCTGGACACTCAGTGGTGGAAACTCATTTTGGACGCTTGAATCAGAGATCCTGTTCTTTTGCCTGGATTCATATGCCAAGTCTGCATTCAGATATTTGTTGACCATATTGGTAAATGGAATGCAGTAGCGCGCTAATACAATGTACAATGGCTAATGGCAGAACCTAGAGTCGTTTTTTTCCGCTTTTGGTAAAGTTTTAAATGCATCTGTGTTTTGTTGTAAAAGCTGGCTATCGCTAAGCTAAGCTAATTATCTGTCCAATCCGGCGTCCAAGTTCGTAAACTCCCTTCGTGCTACCACGGCGTGAGAGTCCAACGGGCAACAGCATTGATACACTGCCTAGATGGGCTTTATTGAAGGATTGCCTGACAGTAAAACATAATGCTCATTGGCCGGCTAAACATTCCCATAAATGCGTAAACACTCCCAGGTGTGGAGTCTGAAAGAGCATGCGTCACATGACGCTGTGCACGCACCACATACGTACTATGTGAACAAAACCCCAAGATACTTGTAATCCACCACTTGTGGCAAGATCTCACCCCCAACCTGGAGCAGGCATTGCACCCTTTGACCATAGCCTCAGACTTGGAAGTCCTGATTCTCATACCAGACACTTCATACTCGGCTGCAAAGAATTGAAGATCACGGCTCGACGAAGCCAAAATAAGAGCCAAAATCTGCGCTGCTACACACATTGGAGGTCCAAAAGCGCAGTCGGTAGAGTTCACAGAAGAGGTTCATGGAGGGTCAACCCACCTGACTCATTGAAAATGGAGGCCCAAGAACTCCGCTTAGCGACTCGGATATTCCTACCCAAGTAGCAGCTCCACAGATTACAATGAAGACTATCCTGCTTTCGAAAGCACACACCTCTCTTCTCCATCAAATGGTTGGACCTCAAAAAAACCTCTCACACAAGGTTTCAGGTAGCTGCAGTCCTGTTGTTTTGTATATCGCAACATCTGGTTCAACATTTTGGTGATTGGCCCGTTTATATTATTGCCCGACACATTTGAAATGACTCGTTTTTGCACATCAAAGCGATTCCACTGCCTTGATCCCACGTTGCCCATGCAAGCATACATACTCTGGAGGAACACACTCTCCTTTTTTTTACTGTTCTGGCTGTTCTAATTTGTTGAGCTAGGCTGAAGGGAAAATCACCCTTGTTTGTTTTTTTTTAATCGCATCTTGTTATTAGGCATCCAGATGTGGCCATCACTTGACCTTCCATAAACGGTAAACACAAACACGTCGTTATCTAGGATACCAACCGCACGGCAAACTCATTAAGCAAGAACACTGAGAAATTGGAATAACACGTTGTCACGCAGATGCCGCGAATAAACACGTTCCGTTGTTCTTTTTTGGCATCTGGATTAGCGCGATCAGCAGGGGCTCCCTAAAATTCCGGAGGAAGTCACGTTCTCTTTGTGGAAGGCGTGAGTAAATCTTGAGTCTTTGTCGTCAATTTTCAAGCAAGTCCCAAGTTACTGTGGCAACAATCAAGCAAGTCACAACATAACGTTCGGGGGGGCTGAAAGTGACTGATGTGAGTACTGAAAACAATGACATTCATTCTTGGCAGCTGCACTGCCAGATAGTCGCATTGTTAAATATTGGAACATCGATACATCTTTTTGGCTCTAAACGCCAGTAGAATGGATTTGAAATGATACGAACAAGATGTGCTTTAACTGCGGACTTTTAGCTTGAATTTGAGGGCAGTTGCATCCAAATTAGATGATTGGTGTCAATGACAAGTTTGTATAGATGCCTCCCACTTTTTTGTAATGGGACACATGAACAATCATGAATCAAATTTTGACATTTTAATTTATAGTTGCAAATCATTTGCAGACATTTGTTGCCATGAGTCTGGAACCAGATGCTGGATTTCATCGCTGGTGATGC